AATTTTTCAGGCGGAAATTTCCGGAGGTCATGTGATATTCCGTAAATCGACGCCTAATTAAATTTCCTGATGTAGTAATTCTTTTGAGATATGTAATAGCTATTTGTAATTTTCTATTACTAGACCAGTTGTTAGTACTAGCAGTTCTGTTAAAATTAGTGGTCTATTCAGTAGGGTCTTTAATAACTTTTCTATAGAACGGTTCTATTGAAAACACATGTATTTCAGATTTCATCGATTGAGCAGTTTCTTTAAATCTTTCAGTTATTTTTTTAAGGAGCTCTTTTAATTGTTTTTGTAATATAGCCATGTTTGATTTGATAATATTTGAAGAAGTTGAAGATGGTGTAGTTTCAGGAGTACTTGTAAAAGATTGAAGTGTACTTGTAAATACAGAGAAGATAAAAATAGGTATATTGAATTTACGTTGTTGTTGTTTATATTTATTGATCTGTTTTTGAAAATAGTCTATAATAGAATCTCTAATTTTTTAAAATTTTTCAGGAACTTTAGAATATATTATATTAAAATTAAATTTGTTATTATAGTAAATATATTTATACATTTTTCTTCTCAAAGCTTTTAGATTAATTGGTCAGTTTATTTGATGATTTTGCTTGAATAGAATTTAATAGAGTAACTAGTGTACCAAATTCAAAATGTTTTAAAATATTCTGCAGGTTATAAAGGTGGAATATAACAGAGGTTATAATAATTCTTTTGTTCAACAATAGTATTTGAAATGTCTTGTTTCGTATTGATGTTTTTTCAGTAAATTGGTATATGTGATCATTAACTTTTTAGTTTGAAACTTTTCAATCTCTCTTTATTTTTTTTAAAATATTAAAGAAGTTTTAATCATTATTTATTAAAATGTTGTCTCAAATCTACATGTGAAATTTAATTTGATCCAAATGATCTTTAACATAGTTTAAATCTTTAAAGATATAGATAATTTTGTAGTTGGGATCTTTCTCTTGTCTTTCTAATTTCTGGTCAACAATTTTTTCTACTGCTTTATCTTTAAGTTCAATTGCAGATATTTTTCACTTTCACTTTTATAAATATAAAAGGAGAAATTATAGGACTATTACTAAAAACTAATCTAATTCTGAAATTTGTTTTTCAAAATTACTACACAAATATCTCTAATATTAAAAAAATGATAAAGTTAAACTTTGATTTGTTTTAATTCTTCAAGTTGTTGGGAATTGAAAGTATAGAGATAATTACTACTAGCTTGTTAAATTATTTCTTTTACTCTGTTGTTATATTTAAAGAAAAATGTATTAACTAAACTATTCAATTGTGTAATACTATTCATATAAAATTAATAAACTATTTTGCAAAAATTTAAATACTATTCGAAAAGAATTCAAAACTAATAACTAAAATACTAATAAAATATTTTTTAATCAGAATAAAAAGGAGTTTGATATCTCATAGTCATTACCAAATTGTTATCTATGTAAATCTTCTACAATTTACAAAAACAATGGAATAAAATAATACTAAAACTAATAACAAAATTAAGTATAACTATAAGAATACTAATCTCAAGATAAAATAATCACGATAAAAGAGTTTATATATAGAAGAAATTATGTACAATCAATTATGAAAGATATGTATAACTATTAACAGTGATATGACGACTTGTTAATAGGAACAAATAGTTTATCAATTATTAAAAAAATACAATAAACAAGGAACTTAAAGGATTTTGTAATATTAATTTTATTACTTAATAAATCCTAACTAATTAACTCAATCGAGTTTTATAAAACTAACTTGAAGCTAAAAAACTAAAAATAAATTAAACTAGAAACTAAAAACTAAGTTGAGAGAATTCTCAGTCTTTATATATATTATAAATTTAACTACTAAGCTAACTTGTAATCTGACTGAAAACTTTACTAGTATCTATGTTAATATCCTAATTGATACTTTAACTATTAATTTAACTTGTACTTTAATTGAAATATTAACTTGTACTATGACTTGTACTCTAGTTTGTATTCTAGTGTTACAGATTTACAAGAATTTAGAAATTTACTAATTTAAGTAATAATATTTAATTTGTACTACAGATTAGTAAACTAATCTATAGTAATACTATATATAATAATAAGAAAATAATAGATAAATAATAAAATAATAAATATACGATATAAAATATATGATAATGAAATATGACAACATGTCGAATAATCAAAAATTGACAAAATTTTTAATACAAATTAGCTTAGCCTATTTACAAATTGGTCACAAATCTTCTTGCCTATTTACAAATCGGTCACAAATCTCTCTGCCTATTTACATATCATTACAAATCTCCCTGCCTATTTGCATATCATCCACAAATCTCCTTGCCTATTTGTGAATCTTCCTATCTACTTGTATCAAAAATTTTATCTATTTTTACTTATTTAACTAGTGTTGTATGGAGCAATACATAATGTTGATAGAAAAGTATATGTATATCTAGTTTCACAAAATAATAAAATTTTAAAACCTTTAGAAATTAGTTTATTCTTTATTTGAATAATATAGACACTTTTTTTAGAAAATCATATTATTATTTTATCTATTGAAACATTTAATTCTGGTGTGTAAAGTTGTTTCAAAATATCTTATACTTTTGAGAGTAATAGCTTCAATTTATTAAAATAATTATTAATTATAGCTGAAAGAAAAGAAATATATAAATATCTTTTTATTTATTTAAAACGAAATAAAGATATCTGTTTTGAAATATTATAAATAGGAAATTTTAGATCTTTGTTTTAATATTAATTAAGAGAAGGTAATTTAAAAAATCCTTAATAAGTAACTAATATATTTCAAATAATAATTTTTTATATTTCATTTTTTGTCATAGTTTGTTAGTAATATTGGCATCTTTTGTTAATATATACAAATTTGTATTAATAACTATTATATCTAATATATTAGTTGAAAAAAAAAAAAAAATTAATTGGTTTGAAAAAATTAGTTTCATAATATGGTAGCAAATTAACAAATACCTTATGCAATAGTTTTGAATAAATAAGGTAATCAAAATTAGAAGGTGGTGATAGCAGTTGTATAGTTTCTACTAGTTTATATTTACTTCTATCTCTTCCTCTCCCTCTACTTTTACTCTACAAACATTCTTGTATTCTCTTTTTCCTTTTCTTTCTCTTTTCCCTTTTTCTTCTCTTCTTCCTTATCTTCAATATTAAATTCCAGACCATTTGAAAAATGTTGTCAGGATATTAAAAGTGATATATTTTTTTTTTGTCATTGATGTTTACCTCTGTAATTTTTAAAAGAAACAAACTTGTAGAGAGCAACATATTTGAACTGGCTGTAAAAAATATAGTTTTAATATTATTTTTGTCAGGTGGAAATTTTAGTTAATAATTAGAAAAACTGTGGAAGCAAAATCATAGAATGATTAAAAATATATTACATATTTATATTTGTTTAGTAATAGGGAAATGTTGTTTAGTAAAATTTGAATCAGTAATACAAAAGATGATCAAAAATAATTCTAGTAGGCAAATTTATCACTATACAAATTAAGGGATAAAGTTATAATAGTAAAGAAAATATATTATTTTTGAGTAATTAATTAATTCAAAATTTATATAAAAAAATAATATGTATAAGTGTTAACATTTGAAAAATAATAACATGTCTTAGAACTTGAACTAATAAATATTTAATTTAGAGTTATATGTAAATTATATATAGATGAAAAATAATAGCTCATTAATTAATTATTATCTGAAGTTTTATTTTTTAATTATTTTGATATCTACTTTGATTTCAGGTTGCAACTTTGATTTTAGGCTGTAACTTTGATTTCAGGTTACTACTTTGATTCAAGTTGTAACTTTGATTTCAGATTATTACTTTGATTTCATGTTACAATTTCAAGTAGCTACTTTTTGAAATTTTATTATTGTTCTACAGGCATTATTAATAAATATTTAATAGTTAAGTAGATGCATCAATTAGCTAGTTCAAAAATGTACAAAGAAATAATTAACATATTTTCAAATTTTATTCTCTTACTGTCAATTATTTTTTATAATATTACTATAAATGAAATATTTAAATTTAAATGAAATTTATTTTAACTAATTTAAAAAATAAATTATATAATTAGAACTAATTTGAAGGTTATAGTTATATCTTGGCTTCAATTTGATGGTTAGGATTATATCTTTAACTTGACTTGAGGATTTAGGATAATATCTTTAGATTCAATTTGATTTGAGTCAATTTGACTTGTTAGAAACAATACTTTCTTCCTTACTTCAAACAAACTTTCCAGTTCAATATTATTATCTAAATAAAGTAATTTGCATAAAAAATAAATATTAATTAAATATTTTGGTTTCAGGATATTATTAATTATTATATTATCATTTATATAATATAACTGTTTCTATATATCATCCAAATAAAGGAATTTGTACAAAAAATGAATATCAGGATTATAACTGTACATTTCTTTTGTTCTATCATCTAAATAAAGTTGATAATTATTTTAATAAACTTATTGAGTTTCTTTTAAAGAATAAGAAAATATTGAAATGAAACCTTTATTACATCACTTGCACTCTTAACAGTTAATAAATTCATTCAAACTTTCACACTAACTACTTTAACCAAAAGAATTTGATTATTTTAAGCAAACTATACGGATACACGGAAACTGGATACGTGACAATTTAGGAATAGATATAATAATTTCTTGAATAAAATCTAGAGATCATGCAGGAAATAGTAGCCATACATAGTAATGCTTAGTATTGATGAATTATAACCCATCTGGAAAAATATTTCCAATTAAGATTTTCTTTGTCTATTAAATAAATCGAAAAAGAGAAAAAAAATGTCAATTCCAATAGACGAAGAATCTGATAATCTTTCAATAGGTATTGACTCAACAATCAATAATCCTGTCACCGAATCAGTAACGGGAAATTCTTACGAAGATAACAATGAGGAAGAAGTGGATGAAACCACAAGTTTGTTGAAACCACGTGGAAATGAAATCCTGACTATAAATGATAATTCAGGAACAAAAATTGCCAAGAAAAAGAGATTATTTTCTTTAAAAAATTTTGTAAAGTTAATACTTTTGACTATATTTATTGGAATAATTATCTGGCTTTTGGTGGTAATGTACATGTGAATTTTTCGTTGCGATATATGTATAATTATGTTTGTTATTGTACAATTTACAAAACTTACGAGACTTACTAGATAATTTAATAAATAATTAGGTCGTTAAAATTCAAAACCACATCACAGAATATCTTCGTATGGTCGAAACACATAAAAAATATGGAGTTTTGATTTATATTTCTATATATATAATTTGCATTTGGTTATTCTTACCCGGGTAATTTTCAAGTTAATTCATTTTAATCCTCTAACTAGAGATGGTGGTGAAACTCGGTAAAACTTGGTGCACCACTGGAGAAATTTGGTGCATCACCGGAGAAACTTGATGCACCACTGAGAAACTTGACGCGCCACTGGAGAAACTTGGTGCATGCACCAGTGGTACACCATCAGTGAAATTTGATGATTTAGTTTCACCATCATCTCTACCTCTAACGTATTATTCGAAATCATATAATAAGATTATTTACAAATGGTCACATATTTTATAGATCATTAATAAGTATAGCCGCGGGATTTTTATTCAAACCACTAATTTTAGCTGGGGCTGTAATCATTGTTGGAGATCTTTTTGGAGCTCTTGGAACCTTTATTTTTGGGAGATATATATTTTCAGATTGGGTCAAAGCTCAAATTGAAAAGAAACCAGTATTTAATGCATTGAATAAAGTTATTGCTGAAGAAGGTATGTCCTTAATATTTTTATTTGTATTCAATTGTTCAAATATTATTTCAATTTATTATTAAATTTATATTCACAATATAATTAATTAAAAATTTTTCTTTTATTAGGATGGAAAATTGTGGTTATGTTACGTTTAACACCATTACCTTTCAACTTTATAAGTTATTTCTTCTCAGTCAGTTCTATAGAAGTAAGTTTTATCGTTTTGTCTGTTCTTCAGTTTTATTTCACTATGATTCTTATCACTTTTTTTTTTTTTTTTAATAAAGTCTAATATATGAATTTTATCAATAACAAATCTTAGCTTTTTCCATTTCTGTGGGCCACTGTTCTTGGAGTGCTGCCTGGAACTTTTAATGCAGTTTGGATAGGATCATTGGTAAAGAATTTAAGTGGTATTGATAAACCTAAATTAAAAAATAAAGGTAAAACATCAAGTTTATTTTTTAATAATATTATACACTTATATAATATTCACAAATTTAAATATTTTTTTCTATAAACAATTCAAAATAGATATTGTTATTATCACCATGAACTTTATACTTGTTGGATGCTGTGTGATAGCATTATCAATATTTGGAAAGAGATCTTTACGAAAGGCAATGACGAAATTGAATGCACCTGAAAATGTTGATTCCAATAATGACAATGTTGTAGCTGATATTGATACTAGTATGTAAATTATATTTTTTTCATATTTAATTACATTTCACACATTTGCAATCTTTTTTTTATTTATTTTTTATTTTTTATTTTTTAGATCCAAATGATATTTCAGTTGAAGAAGAATTTCCTCCATATGATAGTTCACACTTTACACGAATAGAAAGAATAATTCTCATTACCATTGCTATTATCGCAATTCTTAATTTAATGATTTCATTACCATTATATTTTTATTATAAATCCCAACCTGAGAAATCAGAACCCCATGTGAACATGTGTCTGGACACATGTAACATAATAACTGCACTTTTTTAATTCTTGTTATTTTTTAGTATTTTGATATAATTTGATGTATTTTTTGTATTTTTAAATTTTTATTTATTTATAATTTATTAAATGTTGCATAATCCAAATGTTAAAAAAAGGAATTATTGAATTTTATAATTTTAATTTCTATAAACTAGAATAGTTGATTGGGTAACAAAGTTATCATTTATTGGATCTGTTACTGGTCACATGAAAAAAAAATTAATTTTTGTTGACTTTTGTTCAATTTTCAAGTTGGCAATTCAATTTTGTCAATTTTTGCTCAATTCCAACTACTGAGTAAAGTCAAATGAGCCTGGAGGACTTCTGAGTCAAGTTTTAAGGTATGACCTTAACTTTGAATTGAATCATAAAAATATCAATCAAATTTTCAAATTGAGTTTATACAGTTTATATGAGCTAATTTATAAGTTTATACAGTTAAACCTGTATATAAGCATGCTACTGATATAAAGATATTTATTAAATCTATTAATAAATTTTAAATCTTATATTAAGATAATAATAACACACGAGTTAAATAAATAAATATTTAAATGGAAAAAAAATTTTATATCAAATATTTTTTAAAATATCTTTATATCAGTAGCATGCTTATATACAGGTTTGACTGTATAGATTAATTTATAAATTATAAAATATAAAATATTAATTAATTTATATAACTATTATTACAAATTATTTTTAGATGAAAAATTAAAATAAATTTTTAAAAACATTATATGATCCTTAACTCCCAAGTTTATAGAATAGTATGACCCTAACCCGACCTGACCCATTAATTCAGTACAGGTTATCAGGTTGACCTTAAATACTTGGGAGCACTAATGAATGTTAATAAAATAGGTGCAAATATATATGCATGTTGTTAAAAGTAAAAAGCCTTTGACTCAATTACTGAAATTTAATTGTATCAATTATGTCAATTTTCATATGACTCAATCATAATTTTAACTTAAATTCAATAGTTTTGATGACATTATAATATACGCTAATAAAATAAGCACAAATGTACATTCTACACAAATACATTATTTAAATTTGTATAACTTTTGAATATTAAAAAAAAATTTTTGATAAAACATAGGAAGTTTAAGTTGGGCTCACAAGCCTGAGTTGAACAGGCTTGAAGAAAAGATCTAACCTAACAAACCTGATAGGCCTTTAATCATGATCCATGTAAAATCAAAATCCTTTTAGATCTTTAGAATTGCATAAATAAATAATAAATTTATGGTGAAGAATAACCAATAATTTTCATTTTCATATATTTTATATCTCATAATAATGGAAGTTAAAAGAAACAGTAGATAAAATAAATGATGAGAAAAAAATTTTTTTATTGTAATTTTATTCTTCACATATATATGTATATATTAAATAAATAGTAAATAAAACTTGTTCAAAATAAATTTGGTATAAGAAATATAATAATGAAATTATCGTTTTTGATGTTTCTTTGATCCTTTTTTTTTATCAATTCTTTTCAATGCCCGACCTTCTTTTTTCATTCTAGCATCAACCATCTAAATAATTTAAATAATTGAAAATTAATTATTAATTTGTAATAGATATTAAAAATGATTAAATTAAATAAATGATTAATTACTTTGTATCGTCCTTTAACACCTTTGGGTCGTCCTTTTTTACCCTTAGAAGTACCTTTAGCAACAACTACTTTCACTTCTTTTTTCTTTGGTTTTTTTAATTTACCTACCATATTTGAAATAGTCTGAGCTTTTTCTTTTTCAGTCATATCAGAAGTTTCAACAATGGAATCTGTTTTCTTTTGAAGTTTGACAAGCTTCTTAAAAGCCTAATAATGATTAAGAAACAGGAATAAGTATTATCTTTTTATATGGAAATCTTTAATTTAAAAAAAAAATGATACACACTTTAAACTTTTTCCTGGCCTTAGCTTCAGCAATCTTTTTTATTGGACGAGCATTTAAAGCTTTCATTCTTTCTCTGAATGCTTCTACAGCTTCCTTGGTAATTGGTAAATTAAGTACATTATGTTTTTTTTCATCATCTAAAAACCAACTAGGTAATCCTTCTTGATCATTAAATGTATATCGTCGAAATCCATCATCAATAAGTTCTTGTTTTGTTTTTTTCCTATTTACTAGTTGTTGTGCAAGGTTAATTGCTTCTGGTGTAACCAAACCAATTTCTAAATTAAAAAGAAAAAAAATTGATTTTTTTTCGTTTGCAATAAAAAAATAAAAGATAATAGAAAATATGTTTTACTTAGTGCTTTTTTCATTTTTATTTCATCCTCATCAATCTTATTAGGATCCCATATTTTATCAACATCTTCTTCAAGAGGAACTATTTCTATTTCATCTTCATGATTATCTTCGATCTTCAAATGAATAAAAAATATAAAAATCAGATATTAAACTTAAAAATGAAATGATGACTGAAATCAACGTTGAGAAAAAAAACTAACCTCATCAACTTTACGTTTTAATGAACAATTTGATTGAGATATATCATTTGCTTTTCCATTGAGATTTTTTTGAGCTTTCGATTTTTCTTTTATACTGAGGTTTCCTTGAACCTTCGTTGTAATTGATTTATCTATTATTTTAATTTCCTCTTTTGAATTTAAATCATTGTTTGCAAATGATTTATCTATTATTTTAGTTTCCTCTTCCAAATTTGAATCATTGTCTACAATTGATTTATCTATTATTTTGGTTTCCTCTTTTGAATTTGAATCATTGTCTGTAATTTTAACAGACTGTTCTCGAAATTTTGCTTGATCCGGCTTAAGGATATTTTTAAACACTGGATTGTCAAAAAATAAGGTTGCTCTTTTGCTTAAACCACCTGACATTTTAATTTTTCCATCGTCATTATTTTCAATTTCATTTAAATCAGTTATCAATTTTGAAATCTTTTTCCTCTTAATTTTTCCATCATTTATTTTAATATTTGATTGTTGTTCCTCGGACGAACTATCACTATCACTGGAAGAATCATCATATTCTTGCATTGTTTCAGGAGAATTTCCAATATCACTATCGTCACCATCATCTTTATCACTTCCAATATCAAGAGTATCATCATTATGATCATTTTCTTTTGTTCTTAATTTCTTTACTCTATATTTAGCATCACGCTCAGCCTTACGCTCTGTATATTGTTCATATCTACAGAATATATATATATATATATATATATTACAAATAAATTTCAGCAGAACATTTAATTTAAGAAAATCAAGCAAAAAAAAAAAAAAAAAGCTTCTTACAACTCGTCAAGTTCTTCCTCTAAATATGTTATATCATCACTTACAACATGTCCATTTTGATGATCTTTATTTTGAATATCAATGACTATGTCGTCATCCTGATTGTCACCTTGATCAAGAATCACATTCATGTCGCCTTTACGTATTTTCTTCAAAGCCTATGATAAAAAAAATAAATAAATAAATTAGTAATTGTCATTAAAAGATAAAGTAAATAAATAATAAATAAATAAATAATAAAATGAATAAATAAATAATAAAATAAATAATTACTCCGTTTTTATCTATTTGTTTCAAATTGAATAATGAATTGCCATCAACACCTCCTTCATTATCTAATGCAATATCAGTTGGAGAAATCATTTTAAGTTGCATCCTTGTAATATTTTTCTGACGTTTTTCATTGGCTTTTTTACGAAGCCGTTTATGACGAATTCGTTCATCTTCAGTGAGTTTATATAGCTGGAAATTAAAAAGGAAAAAAAAAATCAATATCCGAAATTTTGATTAAAATGGTATATAATGTAATATCTAATTTAAAAATTTATTTATTACTTCCTCTTGGATATCTTGTTTTTCATCAATTTTCATTTCAGTTTTAACATTAATTTCATTATTATCGGATTTCTGTGATTTGGAAATAATAAAATAATAAAATAATAAATATTCAAGTTATTTCTCTAAAATAATCTTTAAAAATTCATATAAAAATTTTCTGTTAATTTAATTTCACATACTGGTTTTCGGAAAGCACTTCTCCATTTCAAAAGACTTTTAAATTCTTTTCTACTTAAAACTTTTAAATCTTCACAACACGCTTTGATTTCTTCCGTTGTTAACTCATGATTTAATAATCTAATTAATTATAATAAATATAATAATTATAAACGAAACAAATTAATACAAATTAATACAAATTATTACAGATTATTACAAATTATTAACACCTAATTATTATAGGATAAATAAGAAACTTACTCTTTAATTTTATCATCAAATTTTAATTTACTAGCGGAACCAAGAATTTTAATTGGGTCATCAGAATTAATGAATTCAGATATCGGGATCTCCTTATATAATAGATATTCACCATCTTCATAACCATCCCTATTTCTTCTCTTTTTTTCGGGATGTAAAATATCAATAGATTTATTTGTAGATCCAACATCAATATCCTGAAAAACTGAACGAGGATCAAGAAATTTGGGATCAATTTTCTTGGGGGCAAGGTAATCCCGACAGACTACAAAAATTTCTGCAGAAACATTCCTTAAAATCATTAAAGGAAAAAAAAAATATTTCTAATTAATCAAATTATAATAATAACATTTATTAATGATTTTTATAATTATTTGATTATACCTAGAAGAAGCAGGTTTTGTTGCTTCTACTTTTCCGAAAAGTTGCTTAAATATCCATATTAAATTATTATAATCTTTGGAACGGAAAATTTTAGTCAAAAATGTTCCTATAAAAAAATATTTATTTTTTTTATTATTTCTTTTCACGAAATTAAAAAAAAAATACAAATTCATAATTTTATAAGAAGAAAAAGAAAGTATTTATTTACCTCCTTTATTCAAAAATTCAACTGCCAATCTTAGTGCTTTTAATGTTAATTCTGATTGAGAAAAAGCATCCTGCAACCATGATATACCAACATTTGGTGCACCATCGTGAAGTATTCTAATTTATTATGAATTAATAAATATTGATAAATATTTGATTGAATTAATAATATATTAATAATATTGATTTGATTAATTTTATATTCAGTAATAATAGAAAAATAATTGATTTAATTAATATATATATTCAGTAATAATAATAATAATAATAATAAATAATAATAATAAATAACAATAATAATAAATAAAATAACTTACACATCCGCTTTCCAATTTTTTAATTCATTTCGAAGTCTTGATCGACATTTTTCAGAAGTGATATCTTCTTGAAATGTAATAACATTTGAAATTGGTTTAATGGAAACTAGATCAACACCTTTTAAAAATATAATATTTGAAGTGTTAACGTATATGCAAGAAAATTGGTTCATTTATTCCCAAATATTTATAATATTTTTATCTTACCAATGATCAAACTCGCTGAAGGCATATATTTATTAGCCACTTGCAACCTTTAGAAAAATATTTGTTATGAAAATTTCTTTAAATTTTTTTTTTAAATCAATTTATATAAAGTATATAAAGTATATAAAGTATATAAAGTCAAAAAAAAAAAAAAACTCACCAACTGCCAGGTGCAGCACATAAATCTATTAAACATTTTGATTTTTCTAAAAAATTATACTTTTTATTTAACTGAATTAACTTAAAGGCAGATCGAGCACGATAACCTTGGTCTTTGGCTAAATGATAATACTTATCCAACCGCCCTGAAAAATAAAGCAAATGATAAGTCTAAAAACTCTTAATTAATATCGTTTAAATTCAGAATAAAAAAAAAACAGACCTTTAGCGGTTTTTTTGGTTTTTTTACCCATTTTTCTAAATACTGGATAACAATAAAAATTTATTGATTATCTATAAAAATTTCGATGATAATCCTTAGGTTACATAAGCGCAAATTTATTAATTCTTCAAGAAATTACCCAATTTAAATGTATGATTTAATATTATCGAGCATTTTGTAAAAAACTTAAAAAAATAAAGAAATCCAATAAAATTTTATTTAGAACCATTGTTTTAAATGGAATAAAAACAGAAATAACATTTTATTATAACTTAAAGTTTTCAGTTTACATTTTAATCACATTGGATTGTTATTGATTGTTTTTACTATTGTTCAACATATACAAGGAACTCGCGAGAATTAGTGTAATGAGAGGCAAATGCTTTTCCATCTCCAGTTGGTTGCGAGAAAGCAAGATCACTGGGTTCAAGAGTATATCCAAATAAAAAATGTGTTCTAATATAATAAATAAATAAAAAAATTTAAAATCTCCGATTTTTTTGATGGAACCGAAAGAATATTAATGATAAAGAAAATTGAATATACCTTATGTTATTTAATAGTCTCGTTGCAATTCCTCTTCTTCTGAGTTTTTTTAATACCCACATTCGACTAATACCACAAACAGCACGAACAGGCTTGGTACTAAAAAAAAAATTGTTTTCTCCAAATTATCTTTTAACCTTTCTAGGGAAAAGTTAGATAATCAGGATAAATAAATAAAGCCTACCAACAAAATATTGCTGAACCATCACTAGCCATTCCAATTTGTATTCTTTCCGAATTTTCTGTTATACCATTATCATCATCATCAATAACTCTATAAGCTTGTGGTATAATTTCGGCCACAGCACATCCTACAACTTTTTTATTACCTGTAATGTACAAGAATATTTTACATTGTTCTAATTTTTTTTCGTTCATCTCTATAGCACATAATTCTGAATTAATCACGTTAAGAATTTGATGTATCTAAATTAAAGGAAAAAAATAAATAATTATAATTAAATAATTATTGATTATTGATTATTATAAAATATTTTCTTCATTTTCTTCAATATACCTTTTTCTTTTCAAATGGATTTGACTGATTGAATGTCAACATTACAACACGACTACCATTATCTTCGGGATATTGTTGTAAAAATATTTGGTTCTTATAATTCTGTAATAAATTAAAATAATTATAATAATAATAAATTATAATAATAAATTATAATAATAAATTATAATAATAAATTTAATGAAACTATTATTTCACCGTATAAGCAATTCCTCCAATGGCGGCTTTATGATATTTAGCATGTAATGTTTCATCTTCTGCTGTACCTTGATTATAAGACATTTTACAATCTGGGCATGTATAAGAATTGAAACTCTTTTGTCCAAGATCGAGAAATAATTGCTCATTTTCTTTAACTCGTCTTTTCTTATCGGTATTTGATAAAGATTCAATGTTTTCTGAATTAAAGCAATTAAAGCGCGGAATTGTATAATTATTTTTCCTTCGCTTTTTTATACATTTATTCTCTGTATCATCACCATCTACATCATCATCATCATCATATTTTGGACTAAAAAAATCAGCGATGAATTTTTGTTTTTGAATCTTTAACTTGGTTGCTGTTGAATCATCAGTTGCAGTTATAAAGACGCGTTCTTTTGGTTCACTTTCTTTAAAACATTTATCTTCCTGGAGGTTAGTTAAATCATTAAGAATATATTCATTTTGGTCTTGCAGTCTACTTCAATAATAAATATCAAAATATTTTTTTTTATTAATATCAATAATATATCAATAATATCAATTGAAATAATTTGGAAAAAACAAACTTTAATGCAGTATCTGAAAATGAAATTCTTTGTTTGCCATAAGTTTTTTTGATCATTGGTTTGTCGCTATTGGAAAACGCGAATTAATTAACGCATTAATGCAACAAAATTAAAAGAATACTAAAAGATGATACCTTGATTTGCTCATTTGCAATTTGCAAACTTTACTGATAGAAGTTAAGACGCGTTAGACCTGAAAATTTAATGTCACGCGGTCATTTTATAACTTGCATCAACTTGCATTAACTCGCATTAACTCGCATATACTCGCATTAACCCGCATATACTCGCATTAACCCACATTAACCTGCATTAACCCGCATCAACCCGCATTGACCCGCATAACTTTAAATTGGTCATTATAAATAGATATTTATTTTGAAAAAATACTGCAACTATTTCAACTATTTCATATTTTCAATCAAAAAGCACGTAAAAAAAAAAATCGTGATTTATTATTTATAATTCAAAGTTATTCAATAAGCCTAAAAAGAGACGTCGGGGAGCCTTTATAATCCGCCATCTATCCCTTCGCCTAAAAGGCTGATTATTCTGACAAAGAAATTAGCTAGACAAAACGAAGGGATGGATCTCCAAATTTATTAAATCGATTATAGAATTAGACGACTTTCTTCGGTGTGAGCCAACATAATGTCCTGAGAAGAAAAAGCGGATGAGTAATATTTATAATTTGGATATATTGCTTCGTTATAAAATATAACTTAACAACATGGAAGATAATTATGATCTCGAAGATAAGAAGGAGTGTGATGAATTTGTTGAAGAATGTAGAGAGAGGGTGAATGGGATTTCGATAATCTCAAATTTATTCCTCAGTAGTAACTTTTTTTGAAAAGTCAGTTAAATGGTGTCCCAGAAATAAAAAGATCTTGAATAAGTATCGACGCGATCTCGATTATCTGATTTTTTTATGATCACGATTCTGTACTACTGATCGCAATATTTTTTCGCATGCAAATAATCGTGACATTTTGTCGTGCTGTAGAAGAAATTTGCACGCATAACCAACTTTTTTTTCAATGATTGTAGTGCTTTATTTCTAGTTAAGGTTACTAATCGCAATCATTTGGTTAAGAGAGTAATACATTATGGAAATCTGTATTATTTGAAACATTTGTTTTCAATGATTATAGTGACCTGATTTAGAGTAATATATACACCCAAATTCCGGATTATATGCTTTCGTAATGCAAATGATCGTGACATTTTTAGATATATAATTGCTGAAAATGTTTTGAGGTATTCTTAAGTTTTATTTTGTATCAGTTCCTTTCAATAGAATAATGTCGTATTATTAAAACTTCATCAACTCATTATTAAAAGAGCATATCGAAAACCATTATTATAATATTTAAGTAAAGTGTCAGCGTTTTTTTCAAGATGTAAATCTTGAAGTTATGCACACAGGGTGAGTATTTTATTCACTGATTTACATGTCATCTTATATCTGAAGTTACGTTGTCACATCGATTGAAAGCACATCATGGCCACAGTTTCCGATTGTGAATGTTCTTCTTCCAGTTACTCGATGTTCTCCCGCATTAGTGTAACCTTGGAGGAACTTATTGATGAATTGAATATATGCTAACTATTGAAAGCATTCACCGTAAGAATATTCGGCATGCACATTCTTTAGTTGTTAATAACGATGATACAAGTATTCACTTTTATCATTTATCTTTTAGTGATCCAATATAAGAAGTGGTATGAAATCATCATATAAGTACATGTATCATATTTAGCAAATATTAATGAATTGATTGATAGATTAAATTTGAATCAATTTTCGTCATTTTCATTTTTTTTTTTGATTATTACGAAGAAATCATTTAAATATTTTTTCTATTTCTTTATTATTATTAATATTATTAATTTTTTACTTATTGTTCTTTTTTATTTCTATTCATTATTTTATTCTTACAGAATAAAATAAAAATTTCTAGATATCTTAAATAATTTCACCTTAACTTTTACTTGTGTGTCTTGACTATTGAAGCAAGAAAGAAACCTGTTTTATAAATTTTTTATGAATAATTATTTTTGTACCTTTGCAAATGTAAATCAGTTTTTATTTCCAATCAAAACAATTGGAACAGAATCTGTTCAAAAATTGTCTTGAAATTTTTAATACACTAATGAATTCACTGACGAGTAGATAAAATTACAGAGATCGGCAATATGCAACATGTCCAGTTCTCATACTATTTTGCGTTTAATATTTCAATCTTAGTTACTTATTGGACTTGATTCAATTAAATCAAATTTATTAAATTACTGGGAAAAAAAGATCAAGGATGTGAAAAACGAGGATGAAAAATGAATAATAATTATTAAATAAAATATTTTATGAATAATATCATCAATTAAAACTTTATTCTCCCGAAATAGATTATACTGTATTATTATGATTATTATTATAAATAATAAATAACAAAATTGTTATCATTTTTTTCTGCAAAACTGATTGGAAAATTACTTAGTAAATCCTTTTCCTCGTATGGAATCATTTTTATTCAAAAAACAGTCTTTCGAGGCAATATTTCCGACAAGGTTTTTAGAAAGAAAAAATGAACTATAAAATTCGAGGTTAAGAAATCATGACGTAAGTTCCCTTTGATTGGTAACAATTCATGTGATCAACATAAATTGTGATTGGCTAAAATCATTATATGATGCTAAAGCAAAAGTTTCGTTTTTAGATTTTAGATTATCAAATATATCAAAATGCGTTTTCATTATTGCAGACTCTTTACAAGTTGAAAAGAAAATAATAAATAACAGTACAAAATATATTAATATAATAAAAATATTCATATTTTCATTTCAAATATTTTTAATAAACCGCTTTTGTTTAATAACTTTTTTTATAATAAGTTTTGCTGTTCGGAAGCACCCTTTTGTTTTCATCTATTTGCTGATCCAATGCATTTATATGAAAATTTTGTGTAACAAGATCATCAATAGGGAACTTGGTTAAGAATACAAAATTGCTAAAGTTCACCAGTGGTGATTGTCACCACTGGGCAAAATTAAATTTACGTGGACAAAAGTTAGGGTTAGGAGGTTGATCAGGGAATTATGTAATTTTGCCTGGTGATCACCGGGAGCTTTAGCAATACCCAAATTTTTAATAAATGCCCCTTGTTAAACATTTATTTCTAAAAATAGAGTCGAATATATAGCATAAAAGGAATAATTGAGGGGATAATTTTTTTTTTTGAATTCAAATTTTAATTTTGTTTTCTATCCATTTTTTCTTTTCAAAATTATTTTGTTTTCTTTTCATTATTTCCTTTTCTTTTCGTTCTCGCGTTTTTTTTCTTTTTTGAGGGGCAACGGAGTCGTATCTTACCACCCCAATGTTATTCAATGTTAGTCTTTATTAAGTAATAAATAGAGATCATATATTTTATCTCATATAAATTTATATCTAAACATAAAATTTATTATAATTAATATAATATAATACTTATAACGATACCATCCAATATGATGGCAAGTGATCATAAGAAAAAAATGATGAATTTTTGTTTCTTTTTTTTTTTAAAAAAAAAAAAAAAAATTAAAATTAAAATTAAAATCTTTTAAAAAATAATTATTGTATTTTTGATAGAATTCTGCATTAAAACAAGCAGACCCTGAAGAATTTTATGTCAAACAAGACCGGATAGGTAAATTTTTGTATTTTAACTTTCTCGAATGAGAAATTCTTATTTATTAATTATTAATAATAATTATAATTATTAAGAATTCCCTGAATTACTTTTATTTAATTGAAATAAAACAAATTGTAATAACGAATTGTAATAACGAATTGATAATTTTATATATAAAACTATAATGAAATGAATAATTGATTACCTTTTAAAATAGGAAAAGGATCATTTGGTGAAGTATTTAAAGGGTATGTTTAAAATATCAATATATTATTATTTGTTATTTGTTATTTGTTATTTGTTATTTGTTATTTATTATTATTATTATTAAATATTATTATTATTATTTATTATTATTATAAAATATTATCAAATATTATAATTAACATATAATTAATAATAATAATAATAATAATAATAATAAAAATAATAATACAAATAATAATAATAATAATATAATAATATTTAATAATTAATAATTGATAATAAATCAATAATTAATAATTAATATAAATAATATTTAATATTTAATAATGAATATAAATAATAATAATATTTTATTTCTTTAAATAATTGCTATGTTTGTGCATTTATATTATTATTATTATTATATATGTGTTTATTATGATGATCAGTTTCGATAAGAAAACTAAAATACCAGTTGCCATTAAAATTATTGATTTGGAAAGTGCTGAAGATGAAATTGAAGATATTCAACAAGAAATAGCTATTTTATCACAATTAGATTCTCATTATGTTACAAGGTAATTCAACTTGTTATATGTTGATATTAAATTTTGATATATATTAAATCATTATTATTTTTTAAAGATATTTTGGTTCGTATCTAAAAGGAACAAATTTGTGGATTGTTATGGAATATTGTTCAGGAGGTTCTTGTTCAGATTTAGTGAGTATTATTATTATCTATTATTATATGTTTATTATTATTATCTATTATTATATGTTATTATTATCATAATCATCTATAATGATATCTTTTATTATTAATTTAGATGAAACCACATCCTATTAAAGAAGAATATATAGCAATCATATTGAGAGAGTTACTTAGAGGATTGGATTATCTTCATAATGAACAAAAACTTCACAGAGGTTAGTATAATATATGATATATGTATATATATAATATATAATATATAATATAAGATGAATATTAACTTTTTTTTTTAATATGTAATTTATTTATTTAGATATAAAAGGTTAATATTTTTTGAATTTATTGAGAATTCTTTTTGTTTTCACTCTTTTATGTGTAAATTATACTCACACATATTATTATTATTATTATTATTATTATTATTACCATTATTACCATTATTACCATTATTGTTATTATTATATTTTACAGCGGCAAATGTTCTTTTAAGTTCTACGGGGGATGGTATAAATCAATTATAATTATTATAATTATTGTTATAATTATTTATTATAATTATTTTATTATATTTATTTAATAATTATTATAATTGTTTATTTTGAATAATTAGTCAAGTTGGCAGATTTTGGAGTATCGGGACAGGTATTTATTATTGTTATTATCAATTATAATTATCAATTTATTATCAATCAATTATAATTATTAATATTATTAATCAATTGTATTAAATATTAGCTTACTAAAACTAAAACAAAAAAAACAACTTTTGTGGGAACGCCGGTATGAATAATATATAATTATTGAATTTATAATTTTATATATTTATAATTTATAGAAATATATTTAAATTGAGTTATATTATTTATTATTATTATTATTATTATTATTATTATTATTATTTATTGAGTTAGTTTTGGATGGCACCCGAAGTTATCGAATTATCTGGATATGACTTTAAGGTAAATTATTATATCGAGTTAATGTTAGTATATCGATTAATGCTATTTAAAGTTAATTCTAATTATATCGAGTTAATGCATAAATAATAATTATTAATTAAATTAATTAATAAATTAAATTAATAAATAAATTAACTGATAAATATAGGCGGATATTTGGTCATTAGGAATAACAGCTATTGAACTTGCTAAGGGAGAACCACCACATGCAGATATTCATCCAATGAAAGTTATTTTTCTAATTCCTAAAAATTCACCACCTATATTAGAAGGTAATTTTTCTAAATCATTTAAGGAATTTGTTTCAATTTGTCTGGATAAAGATCCTAAAAATGTATGTAATTTATTATTATTATTATTATTATTATTATTATTATTATTATTATTATTTGTATTATTATTATTATTTGTATTATTATTATTATTTGTATTATTTGTATTTGTTATATTGTACAAATTATTATATACATATATATACAATGTACTATAATATTCTATATATAGAATCAAAATCAACTAATTGAATAATCGAATAATAAATTTAGAGACCAACTGCAAAGGATTTACTTAAACATAAATTTATTCGTAATGCAAAAAAAACTTCTTATTTGACTGAATTAATTGAAGAGCATGAAAGATGGTTAGCTGAAGGTGGTGGACAACAGGATTCAGATGAATCGGATAATTCAGAAATTCGGTAATCTATTTGATCTATTTAATCTATTTGATCTACTTGATCTATTTGACCTATTTGATTTATTTAATCTAATATATCTAATACAATATATAGTGCGGAAGATGGAGAAGATACAGTTTGGGAATTTCCAAATCAATCGCCAACTTTATCCGATAATGATAACGATGATTATAACGATGATGATGATGATTATGATGATGATGATTATTCAGATACAATTGGTCCTTCTAAAGGGAAACAAACGATGGTATTGTATTTCTAATTATTATTATATTTTATTATATTTTATTATATTTTAATATATTATCTCATTTTTAGGCGATAAAAACCAAAAAAACTAATGATTCCGGATATGATACAATTAAACGAGTGACGGATACAGTTAAAATAGATGATTACAGTGATCTTTATTCTAATCATAATGAATCTTTAGTAACTGGCCCCGCGGTTTATGATAAAGTTATTGTTCCCACAATTGATAAGGTATTTGATTATTAGATGATATTATTATTATTATTATTATTATTATTATTATTATTATTATCTATTATTATTTTTATTAATTATTATTATTATTATTATATTATTATTATTATTATTATTATTATTATTATTATTATTATAGTTCAGAAAGGATGCATCATCCAAAAAAGTCAAATTTACTTTTGATGCTTTGAAAAAAGCTTTTGAAGATTGTGAGAATGAAATTCCAGGAATATCTGAAAGATTTATGAATGCTGTGTTTCAAAAATTTGATGAAGTGAATGATCCTGATAATTTTAATAATAATCAAAATAACAAAAATAATTAAATATCATTATTATATTATTATTCATTCATTCATTCATTCATTCATTCGTTCATTCATTATTCATTTATTATTATTATTCATTCATCTATTAATTATTTATTTATTCATTCATCTATTCTTCATTTATTTATTTATTATTCTTCATTTATTTATTTATAATTAAACCAAATAATTGAAATTATGGACAGATATTTTTTTTTATATTTTTTGCATTACATCATCACCATCACCATTAATTTGATAATTACAGTAGCATAATATTAATAACAAATTTTTGTAGTTTTCTTTTTCTTTTTATTCTTTTTATACATATACATATATATATATATATATGTATGTATACATAAACAATTACAAAATTACATAATATTAATAACAGTTTCTTTTTCTTTTTATTCTTTTTATACACACACATATATATGTATGTATACATAAACAATTACAAAATTACATAATTTCTTTTTCTTATTTATAATATTTTTATTATTTTGGTTGACAGACAATTTTGATTATTTTGATTTCATGAATGAAAAAAAAAAAAAGGAAATTTTATTTATATGTTAGATAGAAAGGTATATAAATGTTTGTATTTTATATATAAACACATAAAGTACCATTAAAATAACAAATAATAACATTAATAAAAAAAAAAATTGTTCGACTACATAATACTTATATTATAGTTATTTTATACTTTATTTATGTTTTATCATTTCTTTTTATTTTATTTTTATTTATTATACTCCAAGATTCAATAATCAATTGACATAATAATCAATCAATTCGTAATAATCAATTCATAATCAATAAATCAATTGAATAATCAAATCATACGCCAATATTCAATAACAAATTAGAACCCCCACCATTTTGATTACCGCCACCGCCAGGTAAATACGTTACATTACGTGAATTTGCCAATGTTCCCGCAATCTCTTTAGATGCTTCTATACGACGTAATAGTACTAATCCTTCTCCTGCTTTATCAAGTGCTCTGGATATTCTCTCGGCTGCTTCCGCTTCTCCTTCTGCTCTAATAACGGATGCTTGTTTTTCTTGTTCAGCCTATTTAAAAGTAATAATAATAATATTATTATTATTATTATTATCATTACCATCATCATCATCATCATCATCATTATTATTATTGATATTATTGATATTAGTGTTATTATTAAATAATAATACCAACGAATATTATATAAATATTATATAAATATTTGAATTACCTTTTCCACAATGAATTTTGCTCGTTCTGCTTCTTGTTGGGCTATTTGTTTTTGTTCAACAGCGTTCGTGAATTCTTTACCAAATGTCATGTGTGTCTATTAAAAATCAAAACTTGTTAAATATATGCATGTGTATATATATATATGATATTATATATATGCATTATAAATAAATAAATGAATGAATAAATAAATAAAATAAAATAAATTGTATGGAAATATATATTATACGAAGAAGAAAGATATTCACAATCGATACATCTTCTAATTCGATATTAAATTCTGCTGCCCTTTTCACTAGATCTTCTCTTATTTTCGAAGAAACCTTCATATCAAAAACAAATTAATTACAATCAATCAATCAATTATTATTATCTATAATTATTAAATTATATTTACCACTTCACGTTGAGTAATCAATTCACCCGCATCAAATTGTGCCACCACGGATTTTAAAACTTCATTACCAATAGATGGTAAAACTCTTTCATCATAATCTTGTCCCAGAGTTTGATAAATTTGTGCTAATTGTTTAATTTGAGGCCTATGAAGTACCCTTAAAGTTAAGCTAACCATTTGCATGTCTTTCGATCCCGTGGTTGTCGAAATATTTCGAGGTTTGGTACGAACATCATATAATACTGCTTTTTGTAACCAGGGTATTCGAAAATGTGTACCTTCCCCAATTGATGTATCCCTCACTCCTTTGAGACGATCAAATATTACTGCTCTAAAGCCTCCTTGAACTAAATATAATGTGTTATATTAATATTTATTACATTATATGTATATGTTATATTAAATATATTTTATTATAAGTTAAAAAATATTTTACATTAACAACCAAAAATTTTTTCATTACCATCATAAATACTATTTTGAGCTAAACTAACAGCTACTCCAACTGGAATAGCTAATTTTGCAATCTTTTCAAGAACGTTTGTAGCAGCCGCCATTATTATTCTTATATTATTATTATTTCAATTAATCATTAAAAACATTATGAAATATATATATTTTTTTTAAGATAACAGATAATCTTTAATCATTCCTGATGGCTGGCGTAATTCTGATTGGCTGATAAAATAGTTTAGGATTGTTTAAAAATCTTTTTAACAAGATATTAGTTTAGTAAGATAATTTAACTACTGTTGTAAAGCTTACTTCTTAATGAAAAGTGAAGTATTATAAATAGGGTATAGTTATTCCTCATCCAGGATGAGACTAGCTATTGTTCACCACCCATTTTTATTTGAGTAAAATTGTTTTCATGTGATTACCAAATGAAAATCAAGTAATTACCAGTGACAAAAAAAGTGATGAATAAGGTTTTCTAATTTTTAAAAAAAACTGTTTTATACTGGCACTTTTTAATAAAAATATTTATACAATATCAGATACCAAAAGTAAAAATATATATTGAAAATCAACATGACAGTCAATTACTTTATTATATAAAAACATATCAGAAATCAGTAATGATAAGATATATACAAGAGTTTTCAATATCAAACTTTTGAATAATAAATTGTTAACATTGATACAAATGTGTAATAGATTTTTCACAATATACATGAAGACCAACTACATATACAGTCAATCTTTTATAAATGTACCACTAGTTGAATACAAAAGAATCACTATACCAAATGGTAATTTCTATACTATAGATCTTCTAAAAATCAATAAACAATTAACCATTATTATGGTATAAAATATAACATTATAATTATTAATTAAAACATTCAATATACTGTAAATAGTAGTATCAATACATTATAACAGAGAATGAACAATTATTTTAACTTAATAGTTATAATTATTATTAATATTTTAAACATATTAGTCTAATTACATGTAAAACAGATACTATTTTAACTACCATGATACAAAATACTATTTGCTAATAACTATAAATAACTGTTACTAAATAATATTAACTATAAATGATTAATAATAATAAATGTTAAGTAATACTAATTGATATTATAAATATATCCCTTACCTCAAATAGTTTTAAGGATTTTATATTATTTAATTTTATACTTTTATAACTTTAATTAATTGTAATTCTTAAAGGATGAAATGTAATTATTTACAAAGTGTATATATGTAAATTCCTATTAAATTTACATAGTGGAAATGAGATAATAAATATTATTATTCAAGTTAATAAATTATAACTTATTGAATATAATAAAGTGGAAGTGAGAATATTAAATAGAAGTTATATAATTAATTAAATAATTAATTATATTTGTTCTGTTCTAATAATTATTGAAAAAGTTTAATGATAAAATATTTATTCAATACTAAAGATGATAAATAGAAGTTATGAAGATATATTATTTAAGGATGTTAGAATGAAATTATAAAGATAAATTAATAAGGATGTTATAATGAAATTATGAATATATAATATTAAAGAAACTTTGAAGTTGAAAGATATAATATTGAAATAAATATATTATGATTAAAGTAAATGAATATTAGTTTGTTAGTTCTATCTAAAAACTAACTGATGCTTTCTAAAACTCAAGAAATAATCAAACTAGAAGTTTTGTACCTATGGAGAAGAACTATAAACTTCTTAAAGAAACCATTAAGTAGATATTGACAATAATTTGTGGCATCTTATTGTATTCTATATTTTAAATTAGCAAAAATCAGAATTCCTTTTTGATACAGCATATCTTTTGTATTTGACCTATATATCTTTTGAAAAATTAGCAATAGGATAAAGGAATGTATTTATAAAAATTTTAATAAAAATTTTTTTTAAATTAAATTAATTAAGTATTTTATTATTTAATCATATTTATTTTATTATTTATATTATATTTTTATTTATATTATATTTATTTTATTATTTATATTATATTTATTTTATTATTTATATCATATTTATTTTAATATTTATATCACATTTATTATTTATATTATATTTATTTAAGAAAAAAACTTTATTTAACCAGAGGAAAAATTAACCAGTGAGTAGAATTAAGTTAATATTGATAGGATTAGGATTAGGGAATTGATCAGGAATTATGTAATTTTGCCTGTGGTAAAATTTTCTCTAGTAAAAATTAAAATTACTCTTTATTTAATTATTATTATATAATTAAATAATTATTGAATTAAAAAATTTATCTAAACTAGATTGTCATGACTATACTTACATAAAAGACAAAATTATTTTACTTAAAATCTGAAATTTTTTAACTACTAGATAAATTCTTTAATTAAAAATACATTTAACTAGATATTTTTTTTATTTCTATATATAGAATAGATTCTGTGTAAATCTCAATAAGACAAAATACAGCTGGAAAAAACTGTTGCTAATTCTTTTTCTAAAAACAAATATCTTATAAAATTAATATATACATAAATCATATTAATTCACATTAATCTGCATTTATCTATATTAATTCATATACTACCTCAAATATATCTGTATATATTTGCAAATATATTCACATATATTTAATTTTTATTAATTGTAAATATATCTGCATATATTTGTGAGTGGAAATTTTCAGATGTTAAACTAAGTTGTATAAAATAAGTTGTTTAGTAGGGTTTTAATATATTGAGGGCAAGTTCACTTGTTAAGTAATTGATTGCAAGTATGTTTTATATAAGTTAGTTTGAGTTTCATCTTTTTAAGTATTAGAATAAGTTGTATATTTTGTATTATGAATAATAATGTAAAAGACTTTTTCTTTTTTTTTAATCAATAAATTTGAGACAAGAGCTTACTGAAATAAAAAAAAAATAAAGATATTTGTATTTAAATTTAAATGTCTGTGAAAATTTTCTGTTATAACTTTTATAAAAATTTTTATTTTTTATACTTTTTTAACTTTAATAAATATTTTTAATTCCTTGTTTTAATTTTTAAATTGATAAATATTATTCATAATTTAATAATTGTTTTTATAAATTTTAGATACTTTATTAGTTAATATAATTAAATTATTTCATGTTCTATTAATTCTATTTAATTTATTCTTACAATTTGTAAACATATTTTTTCTTGTTTACAAGTTACTAGTTGTAAACTTTCTTTTAGAAAATATAATTATCTCAAAAGGTTGACTAGTAACAATATATAATAATTTTCTAAAATGTTTTTAAAATAACAAAAAAAGTTTTATTTTTAGTTACAAAATAATATGTGTTTAATTTAGTAACTTGATCTATAAATAAATTTATCTATTACAAATATAAATTGCAAAATTAATAAATTGGAAAATGACCTTTAAAGGATATAATTACATATATAATTTTCTACTTTATAATATATACTAGTCAAATATAAAAGAATTATTGTACTAAATGATAATTCCTATATTATAGATTAGTTAAAAATTGGTAAATTGATTATTCTATTGTATTTTATATTATAAATTAACTAAAATCAGAATTTATTTTTGGTATAACAATTCTTTTGTATTTGATCTGTGATATATTATGTAATACACACTATGTGTTAATCTATATGGATATATTCAAGGTTGTAGTTGTACACTATATTAACGAAATTTTAGTACAAGTACTAAATTTGTATTATGTACTAGTGTACTTAGTACAAATTATACCAGTACACTTTTATACAAAATACAGATGTACTACCTATTTTCAGTACAGTTAGTACATTTAGTACATAGTACAAAAATTTTGTCATCTAATTGATTTGTTTATCGAAATTCTTTTATTACTGAAATTCTGAGATGTAATAGTCAAAAGTAAAAATAATAAAAATGAAAATTTTATATTAATGGTAAAAAAAAGAACCCCAAACTCACGATTACGACTCTAAGAAAATAAAGGAGAGAAATCAAGTAAGGAAAAAGGTGAGTGATTATTTATATATTTTTTTAAATAAAAAAATAAAAAAAAATACTTACTCCAATACATCTGTTCATTTGCCATAGTGATGATTCTACTAATTCCAAGGAAGAAGCCCAAACTCACGATCACAACATCGAGAAAGTAAAGAAGGAGAAAGTAAGTAAGGGAAAAACAAGTGAGAAAAAAGATGAGTGATTATTTTATATATTTTTTTAAATAAAAAAATAAAAAAAATAATACTTACTCTATACGTTCGTTCATTTGTCACAGTAATGATTCTACCAATTTCAAGGAAAAATTTCAAATCTTCAATTACGACTCTAAGAAAGTAAAAGAAAGAAATCAAGTAAAAAAAAAGGTAAGTAACTATTTATATATATATTTTTTTAAATAAAAAATAAAAAAAAATACTTATTTCAATACGTCTGTACTATATTTGTACACAAAATTATTTTGGAACTCCAAAATTACAATTTCGGAAAAAAAAATTGAAATAGTTTTTCATAGAAGACAAAATTATTTTACTTAAAATTCGAAAATTTTTTAACCACCTAAATTTATTCTTTGATTAAAGATACATATAATTGAATACTTTTTTTACTTTCATATATAGAATAGATTTTGCATAAATCTCAAAAAGTCAAAATACCTTAAAAATTTAAAATCAATTTTGGAAACATGTATAGGTATATTTGTTGCAATAACAATTCTACTGATTTCAAGTAAAAATTCACAAAAGTTACGATTTTGACTCCAAAAAATAAAAAAGAAAAAGCAAGTGAGAAAAAAAATAAGTAATTATTTTATTTTTTATATATATTTTTTTTAAAAAAAAAATAATAAAAATACCTATTTCACTATATCCGTACATTTGTTGCAGTAATGATTCTACCAATTCCAAAAGTCATAATCTTGACTTCAAGGAAATAGAAAAGAAAAGATAAGTAGAAAAAGGGTGAGTAATTATTTTATTTTTTATATATATTTTTTTAAAAAAAAATACTTACTTCACTATATTCGTACATTTGTTGCAATAATGATTCTACCAATTCTACCAATTTCAAAAGCCATGATCTCAGCTCCAAGAAAATAGAAAAGAAAAGACAAATAAGAAAAAAGATGAATAATTATTTTATTTTTTATATATATTTTTTTAAAAAAAAAAAAATAATAAAAATACTTACTCCATTATATCCATTTGTTTATTGTAGAGCATGATTATTAGAAAAGAAAGAAAATAAGTTATTAATTAAATTATTTATTTAGATTCGAATTAATTTAAAATTATCATTAATTAAATTTCTACTTATTTAAAATGATTAATGGAGATAAAAAAAAATGAAAAGGGATTATTGTTTGATTTTCTGTGGTGATTGTTTAAATCCATTAATAACTTTAAATAAGTAGAGGAGAAAAATTTTGTTATAATAAATAATATAGCATTTGATTTCAAGTAATAAGTGTTTTTTTTTATCAAATTTATTTATTTATTTTTTATATAATTTCTGATTATAACACTTCTTATGCTTTTTCAAATTCTGTATATAAAACAAACAAAAATCTCTTGTAATAACAAACTTGATTTTATTTTTATTTTATTTTATTTTTAGATGATGGAGAGATAATAACATGAGGTAAAAAATGATATATTACAGAAAGAAAGAAGAGCTTGAAAGTTAATAGATAAAAAAAGAAGATTATTAGTGGTCTTTCTATAACAAAAAAATAAAAATGGTCATTTATGTTTAATTAAATGTCATATATTTTATTAAATTAAAAATAAATAAAAACTAGTTTTTAAAAAAAAGATCTTTGTGCCATTGTTAGATCAATTCTTATTGTAGTACTAAAATAATTTAAATTTCAATAAACCTGATAATCAGTTTTTATTTTTTTAAAAAAAAGAAATAATACAAAATTTAAAAAATTATATAATTACAATAAGAAAAAAAGTGGTTCAAGCAATAAACTATGTTATTGCAAAGCCAGTTATAACAAATATGGTGAAAATGATTTAGAATTGAAAGCTATTGTAGATAAAACTGATCATATATTATCTCATTTTCAAAATTGTTTTAATTTTAATAAAGTATATAATCAAGAAGAAAAAGAAATAATATTTTCTCTTGCATCTAAAAAAAAATAAATTTAGATAAACGATCAGGTAATTTTTATTTATTTATATTTATAATTTGATAATTTGTTATTTTATATTAATTAGATTTTTTTTATTAATAAATAATTTATCAAATAATAAAAATCAATTAGTAAAAATATAATGAAATACTTCATTTTCATCACAAGCTTCATCATTTTTAACACAAGTTTCATTATCTTCAGCACAAACTTCATTATCTTTAGTACAAACTTCATAATCTTCAGCACAAGTTTCATTATTTTCAGCACAAACTTTATCATCTTCAATACAAGCTTTGTCACTTTTAAATTATGAACCTTTGGATAACTTTATAACACGACCTCTTTCTAGTATTGATAGAAAAAAATTCAATTTATTAATATTACATGTTACTATTTCTTGTAGATTTGCTTTATTTTGGATTAATAATTTAGAAGTTATTGAACTTTTTAAGTTTTTGAATTCACTAATTAAATTATCTAATAGAAAAACATTATCAAATAAAATTTTACATGAAGCTATTACAGATCTTAATAATACAATGATTGAAAAATTAAAATCAGATAGAATTGAAATTACATTATCCTTTGATGGTTAGATTAATGTACGTGAGCAAGAATTAATGAGAACAATTATTATATCTTCTGATAGTCAATCTTATATTTGAAAAACAATGGACATAAGTGGTGAATGTTACAAAACTGATGATGTTATTGCAAAAACAGAAGAAATGATTACAGATATCAGAGAATTGAATTTAACTATCTTAGCAATTGTTACTGATAGTGTACCAGCATATAATGTTACAAGGTAATTTTTTAAATTTATTTATTTTTTTCTAATTAATTAAATTAAAATTATTTATATAATTAATTTTTAATTATATTATAGATTACATCTTCAAAATCAACATCGTGAACTTGTTTTTTTCCTTGTTATGCTCACCAAGTTAATTTATGTGTTGATGAAATTTTTAAAGTATCATTAGAGTTTAAAACAATATCTTCTTATGCATTAAAAATAGCAGCATATTTTAAAAATGCAAATAATAAATATTTTATTGGACAACTTCGTACTATTCAGAAAGAGATTTATGAAAAATATATTTAACCAATGATTCTAGATAATACACAATGGAATAGCTATTTTCTTGTTGTTCAAGTATAAAAGCAACCAAAAATACTTTGTGGGTATGTAAATTAAAATCTATTTTTTTATTAACTTTTGTTTTTATTATTTAATTTTAATTATATATTTTTATTAACTTTTTTATTTTTTTATTTAATTTTAATTATATATTTTTAGTCTTTAGCTACTAAATTTGAATTTTCTCAATTAAATACTTGTCGTTGACCAAATGATCCATTAACAATTTCTCAAGATATTTATTCAATTATTATAAATGAAAATTTTTGAAAAAATTTAATAAAACTAGAACAACTTTTAATTTCTTATTGTCAAATTCTTAATATATTACAAATAGATAAAATAAAATTATATAAAGTTTTATATGGATTTACTTATCTTACACAATTTTGAAAAAAATATGTAGATAGTGATTTGGCAAATAGGATCTTAATACATTTACAAAAAAGATGGAAATCTTGGAAACAGTTATTACTTATTCTTTCTTAACTTTTTTATCCATTCTACCAAACAAATATTTTATATCATCACTTTTATCAAAAATTAGTTATTTACATATAGGAAAATAATTAGTATATTATTATAAAGTTTGAACTGGATGTGATCCTCAATCTATTTTTGTTGAATTTGATAATTTTTCTCAAAGAAAGAATTATCCTTTTGATAATGAAACAATTCGTTAATTTGAAAACAATATACATAAATATTGGTGTTGGATTAAAGATACATATCCAAAAATAGAACAGTTGCTTCTAGAATTTTTGGTATTTCTGTTAATGCTGCATTAGTTGAAAGATTGTGGAGTAATATGGAATTTTATCATACTAAAAATAGAAATAAATTGAAGGTAAAAAATCTATTTAGTTATATTAATTCTTGTATTTATTTTTTATTTAATTAAATTTTTTATTTATTCAGTATACACATGTATTAGATATGGCCAAATTACATGCTGATATTACAATAATAGAAGATTCTATAAAGAATCTATTATATCTAATATTATAAATTCTACTTTAGAAACCCAAACACAAGATGATAATTTAGAAACTGAAATACAGGAAGTTAATTCAGAAACTGAAACAAAAGATATTAATCAGGAAATTGATATGCAAGATATTGATTCTGAAACTGAATTATTGATGGAAGAAAATGAAGAAGTATCAAATAATAGTGAATATGATGAAAATAATAATATAGATATAAAAGATATTTCCCAAAAGTTTAATGATCATTTATCTGAATGGATAGTAATACTTGAAACAGAAACAGAAAATTCAGAATTTTTAAAAAATGAAATTGAAAATATTGATCATCCAGCAGTAAATATTCAAGCTAAATGGAATTTAGATATTATATCAAAGATAATTTACCTTGTCCTTTTGATTAATGTAATACATTTTATTTTTTTATTAATAAAGATTATAATCAGAATTTGTTTAGCCATCATATAAAAAATTTTTATAGCTCAAAAGTTATGAAATGCATTTCGTAATATGATCAATTTGTTTTTTAACAATCCCATTTATTATGTAATTTTATAAAAATACTTGTAATTGAAATAATTATAATCATTTTTACATGTAAAACTTTTTATTTTATAAGTAAATGTTAAAAACGATACTAAGTAATCTTGAAGACAAAAATCAATCGCATCTCTTGTAAGAATCGCAGATCTATGTCATTAAAATTGAGTAAATAATAGCTATTTTAAATTTTTTATCCGTTCGAACTTTAAACGCTAATATTTTCCTCAATTTTAATAGAATGGGTTTGATATTCTGAAAAAAGATGCGCTATATTCTTGTCTTTAAAGTTACTTAGTATCGTTTTTGAATCTTACTTACAAAATAAAAAGTTTTATATGTAGCAACGATAGATGATTATTTCAATTACAAGTATTTTTATAAATATTAATTATAAGTCATAATTTCATCATAATTTTACTTATGACATATACATAGATTATTCAAATCCTAGTTAAATATCACATGATTTTATAATATTGTACTAAAATATTTAATCACAAGATCAGTTAAATTATTAACCAATCAAAATTAATAAATCATATGATTTAGATGTACTAAATGTACTAAATTTTGAAAATTTTGTACAGTACAGATTTCCAACCCTGGATATATTTATATATATTTTTATCTGTAAAATATATAGTAATTTATTCATGAATTATATTACTAATTTAATCTCAATAGCATTGATATTCAAATGTCTGTGAAAAAATTTGTCATAAATTTTTTAATAATTCTGATCAGAATTATGAAAAATTCCAGAAATTTATAACAGAAATTTTAGCTTTAAATACAAATAACTCTACAAATAATGATGCTACTGAATTATGTATTCCAATAATAATTAAAATTTTTAAGGAATAACTTTTATTTACTTATTTTTAAATAAAATTTTATTATCTCATGTTTGTTTACTTAAAAGTTACTTATTTTTACTTAAAATTTCGTAGATCTTTTATTAGAATATTTTGGGCAGATAGCCATATGACTACTTGTTAAATATAATGCAAAAAATAATGGTTTAATTTGCAATACATATTTTAAATAGTAATCTAGAACTTCATTTCATATTTCTGTAGCAAATCCTAAGTATTTATTCTCAAGATAATAAATATAATGCTAAAATAATTATAAATATTATTATTACATTTATGGAACAAAATGTTACAAACAATAAGCTGTGGATATGTGACATTTTATCATCAAAGTTAAAGAAGATAAAATAATAAAATAACTCAATTTGGTAAATCGAATTTAATTGTAGAATTGACTTAGCCACGCATTAGTTGAAATTTTCGAACCTAGGGTAATTGTTTTACATTCACTTAGAAAATCTGAAAATCTATCCGAAGACAAAATCCTTATTCATGGTAACTTTTTCTTTAATATTGACTCAAGCCTAAATATGAGGAGTATGCTTATGTTGGTTTTTTTTTAGTCCAGCACCAAACCCGAAAAAGCCACCTCTCACAATGGCAACGTTGCTCTAAACAATGAGGCTAGTGCTTCTGACACTGCTTCTGCGCCTCAACAGCCTGAAACTGTTGAAGACGTAAATTCACAGTGGGAAACTCGCATTTCTCGTTCTCGTAAAATTGTTTACTACTACAATCGCGCAACTAAAGAAAGTACTTGGGATCTCCCTCCAGGCGTCGATCCTAGCAAAATTAAAGGATATGGCGAGGTAACAGTGCAACAGGCACAGAATATTAATCCATTGGAAGGTGGTGCAGGACAAATTAGGGCTAGCCACCTGTTGGTCAAGCATAAAGGTAGTAGAAGACCAACGTCGTGGAAGGAGGTTAGTTTTGTTTCAACATAACTAGACGCGTTATTCGTGTATTCGCTGTTTAATTTTTAAATTTAATTTTTTTTTTTTGAGTTTTAAAATATTAATTTTTTTATTTAGCCAACGATAAAACGTACCAAAGAGGAAGCTCTTGAAGTTATCAAATCTTATCATTCACGAATTACTTCCGGTGAAATTACTCTCGAGGAACTTGCTAGCACGGAATCTGACTGTTCAAGTGCAAAACGTAATGGTGATTTAGGTTTTTTTGGTGAGGGACAAATGCAACCTTCTTTTGAGGAAGCTGCATTTAAACTTGAAGTTGGAGAATTAAGTGAGCCAGTTTGGAGTGATAGTGGAGTTCATTTGATTTTGCGAACAAAGTAGATCAAAACCTAAATTTTACAAAGTTTACGAGCGAGCAATTAGATTGATTTAGATGAGTACCGTTTAACACGCGTTTTTTTTGGATTATTTTTGTGATGTTTAATAATCATATTATTTATTAACCTAATATGTAGACAAAAAAAAAGTGGGTAAACAATGTAAACAATACATTTTATTAATAAATTCAGATACTTGATTTGAATTAAAATGTTTTTCCATGTTTTTCCCCACATGATTTCATAGATACTCGAAATATTGTTAATCTTCGCATACATTTTACATACTTCGCCGTTATTTTATTGTCACGGATTGTGTGGTTATATTGATATAATTTTTACTATTAAATACATCATGTGATTATCCCATTAACAAGAACTTTTGGCAAATCAAACTTATATTAACTTTAGAACCATCAAAAGAACTTATGACAAATTATATTTTTAAATAACGAATTTTGAAATTTGTAAGTAACATGCCTATAAATGTCTTACTGTAAATCAATTAAAACATACATATAGAATTCAGATACATATTTGAAGAATTATTCATTTCTTCAATAACTCTATATAAATTTCTAATCCGTTTCATTTGAACCATCTGATTTTTGTTCACTTGAACCATTCGATTTTTGTTCGTTTGAATCATCTGATTTTTGTTCGCTTGAACCATTCGATTTTTGTTCACATTCCTTGTAACAATCTGTCTCAATTTCACATAAACATTGAACTTTAGAAACAGTAGAATGACTATTTTCCATAAAAAGTCCTAAATCGTCGGGAGAACCTAAATCACTTAATCCTTCTTCAGTCTCTTCTCCTGTACAAGAGATTGGTGTACTTGGCCGTTGAACTAAAGATGGTGTTGATTCTAAAGATTCCACTTTCTTTTTGAGAACAGCTCTTTCAGCCTAAAACCATTCAAATATAAATATACATTCAATTATTAATATTTATAATATTTATTATATATTATAAACTTCTTTTCTGTGATAAGATAATCATCAATACCTGAAGTGCTCTACACAGATTTTCCAATTTTGCCTGCCTTTTATTAGCATCCTCGACAGATTTTTGGTTTCGCGCCCGCTGTTCACAATTGTTCGTAATGGTTGCATTTATTAATCCAAAGGGCATTACTATGCATTAATCCACTGCGCTATTTATATAGTTTAGCCATACCTCCTCTGCCATTTCTAAAATATTTTTATTCATCGTATCACATTTCCCTTTTATTGATGAATTTTCTTTTTCAAGTTTTTTCGTCTTTTTGGTCATCTGATGTATGAAAACGCCTATAAGAGAAATGTCAATGTACCTTGTTTATTACACAAAATTAAATGCCAAAATAAACAAACCTGTTCCATCTCTTTACGAAAAGTCATAAATAATTCATTGCTTTTATTTAATGTTTCCTCTACTTGTTTAAATTTATCAACATAAACATTAAGCTGTTTACGTAGTTCAATCTCATTTTTGGCGAGTGTATCAACTTGACCTTTTAAGGAATTCACCTAATAATCGATATAATGCGTAATAATCGACGTGCAATAAATCAACGTGTAATAATCGACGGAAGACTAAGTAAACCAATATTAAAAGTTTCAACAAACACCGAATTGTTGCTTACCTTAATAATTTCCTTTTCGGTTAATTGTTTTTGTTGTTGCAATTTTGCTTCATACAATTGTAATTCTAAATCCTTAGACCGAACGACACTATTGAAATGTTTTTCACGAAGCTCATATTGTTCCAAAAAACCACGGAACTTATCTTTTAACCTAATAAGTTTTCATAATCATTAAAATTTAAGATTGGTAAAAAAAAAAAAAAAAAAATACAATAACACTTCTTTCTCTACGAACAATTCATTATCCTCGGCTCTTTTTTTTTTCTCGCCAGTATCTTCCTCCATTTTTGATTTTATTTCCCAGATAGTATTCTCAAATTTACCGGACAATTCTTCACGTTTTTGTTGTTCAGTAGCAGCTAGACGTCTGCCTTCCTCCTTTTTTTTAGGGGTCAGAAAAGAAAGGAATAATTTAATATAAAACCAAATGATGATTTGTTTATAATTTATAAATCAACACGAACTTTAATACGTTTATTTTCTTTTTGCAATTCTCGGCATATGTTTTCTAACTTATGTTTCATTGAATTAGTTTTGGATAATTCACTTTTTGCTTATTCAATAATAACAAATTTTGGAGATTAATATTCATTGTAAAAAGATAAATTACAAATTTTGTAAATTGAAGAATAATTACCAGAATCCTTCTCCTTTTGTAATTGTTCATTACGTTTCTTCATTTTGACGTGATCTCGTTCAAGACGTTTCATTTCTTGAAACTGAAATTAAGTTTAATTAAGATCATATTATAAATAGAAAGATTAAATACATCAAGTTCCACAATTCAGTTCCAAATGTTTACATCTTTCTAGAAAATCAATGCACGAAATATTTTAAAATATATATATATTTTTACCAATTCCATATATTTTTGCTGAATAGTTTCGATTTTCTCCATTTGATTATCATTGGAATTAATTATATCTTTCATTTCTCTGCTTGCTTTTTTGATGGCTTTTGCTAGGTTAATTATTTCCAGTAATAATGGTAAAGTTGGTATCGAAAAAGATTGAATAATTATAATTACTATCATAATTGAAGGGAATTCAAATAATTTGTTTATATACCTATTGCCTTCTCCTCTTCGTCTTCAATTGAAGACTCGGTCTCTAGTTGAGAAATTTTATTTTGAATCATATTGAGTTCTTGAAGATCTAAAGGTCTTTTTTTAGACGCGCTATTCTTTTTGGCATTTATTGGTGTTGCCAGAGAAGTTGTTTTTTGCGAGTTAACTTTCATAAATCCTTTCAAAGTTTGGTTATTGGGTACGTCAATGTGTTCAGCTCGCGTTGCTTGATTTTCGTGAGCGTTACTGTTTAAAGCTTCAGAGGTTGGCATAGCGAAAAATGCAATCTTTTATGTAACCTACGAAAAAAATCTACAAATTGTTTTTTTTTGTGGCTGATTGATATAAATTATAAAAAAAACTTAATTTTATTAAAAAAAGAATTTGGCATCGACGCCGGTTTAGCTCAGTTGGGAGAGCGTCAGACTGAAGATCTGAAGGTCGTGTGTTCAATCCACACAACCGGCATTTACCTTTTTTTTTCTCTAACATATTATTCCTAAAATTTTACAAACCTTTCTCCTTTAAAGAAATATTTTACATTACACGAAATCATATATATTCTTTTTAATGTTTTACTTTTTTTTTGTTTAAGTAAAAGAGCTTTATTTGTGAATCTAAGGAATATAAGATACAAGTAACAAATTAATATTTTTAATGAAAAAAAAAAAAAAATAATAATCTCGTTCACTACGTTAAAAAATATCTTCATTCCCTGTTATTATTGAATAAAACTTTTATAAATATAATTAATTCTATAATTTATGATTTTCTATAATTTTCTATAATTTACGATATTTAATGTTTCATAATATAGTTGTAAAAGTTGTAAAACATCCTAACAGTAATAAAAATGCTTGAATTAATCCCCATAAAAATGGAACCCAAACGGACATTTCAAAATTACCAGATTTATATAATGATGCTAAAAGAAATCCTAATTTTGTAAATTAATGAAAAAAAAGGGTAAGAATAATGAAAATATCTATAAATATCTATAAACTACACGTACGCGTACGTACCGACAATTGTTCCTCCCACAAGTCCTGTTAGTAATGCAACGATCACAAAACTAATCGGAATTAAAAATGACCATCTGTACTTATGAAATACTACCCATGCTAATAATCCAGCTAGACTATATATTATCGTGAAAAATATTATGGTCCATAAAACCGTGAATTTCCAGACATCTTTTTTTGGAAGAAATATTTAGTGATAAAAGGCAAAGAACAGAATTAGCGTTATAATTTACAACTAACCTGTCGGATCAGTAAGATAAATTTTAGTTACCGTATTAATAGGCCAATAAAGAGAAGGCCATGGAGGGTTTGAATTGTTTGACATTTTATGGTATATTATTAATATTCAAAGAGAGAATTAAATAAGAAACTAGTACTGGTGTAATGTAATACAGATATTTATTATTAAAAAATTATAATGTTATACAATAAATACGTAAGTGGGGTCTGGATTCAGAAATAAGTTCTAATCGTAGGGTGATATTTCAAGGTTGGAGATCTGCTCAGATGAAAAAATGTTTTTATCTAAAGCAAGACATACTTTTGATAAAGTAAGACCTTGAGTTTTTGCGAATAGCCATAGCAAACAATTTTGTAATGGAAATTGAGTCCTTTGACAATTATTTCCATTAATTTCAAAATAATGAGTATGTTTATAAATTTGAATATCTACTATTGAACTTCTAATGGAAAATGCTACTCTTGTTAATTGTTCTTGGAAGTTGATATCAGTAACAACTCCAATCATTCCATTGCAAATTCCATTTTCAATTAGAGAATTGTTAAGGTATATTACATATACTCCAGGTTATAATCATGCAGATGATAGTAAATTAGTTTTTGATTTAAACATTTGTTCAAAATTAGATACATTCTATAATTTTGAATTTATCAAATCTAATGCTTGTGAAATTAAGAATTTATTATTTGCAACAGGTAACATGTTACAAATCATTAATTTGTTGTGCACTTTCACAAAAACCTACAATATGAGTTGTATTTAATACCATATCAAATAGTAGAATGTGAAAAAATTCAAAATGTCTTTGTTGTAATATATTTCAAGTTTCTTCTAAAATATCATTTGTTCTAAATTCTAATATATGATAATATTGGATATCATTATTTGACATTGTGATGTTTTTAAAAATAAAAGATAAAATAATTTTTAAGTAGTTATATGAAAAACAGGTTGTCTGGTTATAGGAAAAAGTTGAAATACAGTGATCTATAAAAGTATTGCAACACTTTAAAAAAAATTTTCAAACCAATATAACTTAAAAAATATAAGTCCCACAATAATAAATTTATATTTATTAAATAATCTTAATTCTGAATTATCTATTAAGATAAAATTAATTACAAATTAATTAGAAAGTTTTGAAAATATATTTGTTTATTTAAAATTTATATGTTGCATTACATATGTGGTTTTTTTAAAAATTCCATATTTTTTAATTTTTAAAAAAAAAATAAAATAAAAATAATAAAAAAAAATATATATTCTAATTGTTTACTATATATTACCATCTTGTATATCCTTTCCTTGCTTTAATCATATCATTTATATATTGTGACATTGATTCAATTAATTTAGTACAAATACTAAGATCAATATTATTCTACACATCTTGAATCTGTTCCCATAACTCATCTTTCTTTGTAACTTTTACAGAAAGTTTCCTTAAACATCTGTCTACCTCATTCTATAAATGTTCAATGGGATTTAGATCTGGAAATTAAGCTAGCTACTCAAGTATTTCTATATCATTTTTCTCTAACTACTCTTGAGTAAGTTTGACAATATGTTTGAAATCATTATCCTGTTGAAAAATAATATCTTCTTTATTTAAATTATATCAAGTTAATGTTCTTAAAAAATCTTCTGTAAGTATTCTTCTATAAAGTTCACTACCTATCTTTCCATCTATCTTATAAAAATTTTCCATATCAAGTGAAGTAAAGTATCTCCATACTATAATATTTTCTTCTCCAAATTTCACAGTTGACTTTATATGAGAGTCTCTTAAAGGTTTTCCTACTCTCTTCTAACATTACTTTTTTCCATCACTACTAAAAATATTAAATTTGTTTTTATCTAATCAAATTACATTTGATCAATCTGAAATCATCCAATAGTAGTACTTTTTTACAAAGACAAATTGATAATTTCAATGTGTCTTCTTAAGGTATGACTTTTTTATTTTGGATCTTGCTACTAATCCATTTTCTTTAAGTGTTTGCTATATAGTTTTAACAAATACCTTTAAATCTTCTTCAATTTTGAATTACTTTTATACTCAAATTACTATAGATACTTTGTTAGATATTATAAGTTAAAGTAACTTCCTCTCATCTCAGTTATTAATTAGCTAAGAACATCTAGATTTTGGTCTATTTTCATTACTACTAGTCTCTTGTTTTTGTTTATTTATTTTAAAGACAGTAGAAAAATGTATTTTTTTGACATGAGCAATATAATAGCAGAAAAATCCTTTCTTGAGAAGCACTATAACCTTGATTCTTTTTTCAATAGTCACTTGTTTCATAAAAGTTTTTTTTAATAAAAATTATTTTGATTATAATTAATGAAAGGCTTTTTTTTAATAGGATAAAATGATATAATTAATTTTAATTATTATTTTTTTAATAAGTATATAAAACCGATCAACATTAGATGACACAAAATTTAAATTATGAATATCGATCTACTAATAGTAAATTAAATATAAAACAATTATAAAAATATAATTTTTTTTTAATTTATTACTAAAATCAACTAAAAATTAATTGATAAAAATTTTTTTAAAGTTTTGCAATACTTTTGTAAGTTACTGTATTATCATAAAAGTATTAATGTAATTAATTTATTAAATAAAATAAAATATTTAATACTAATAATATACAATATTAAATAAAAAAATTAATATACACTGGTCGAAAATTGATAAAACATACACATATCGGGTATCCGATATGTGTATGTTTTATTAATTTTCGACCAGTGATAATTATCTTTAACATGAAATTTTTTAATTTTATTAGATTCAGATAATAGATTATAATTAAAATAAAAGATACGATTTTCATATTCTATTATTTCTTAGTAATGTTTTACAAAAAAATATTAAAATTTGATAATAATTTTTTTTTTTTAACAACAGAATATAAAAATGGTTTAATTTGTGATTTGCAAGAAATATAAAGATCTACATTAATAAAATATGAGATAAGTATATAGTAAAAATATATATATGGAATAATTTCAAGCTGAAATATGAAAATTATAAAAGTTATTTTATCAATGATGATAAAAAAATCAAAGGTTCTGATTATATATATTTTTAAAGTCAAATAGTTATATTAATAAAATAAGATAAAGTTTCTTTTTTTTAATAACCAAAATTTTCTTTTTGATTATATTTAAAATTTTATTTTATCTCAAAATTTATTATCACAAATTATAAATTAATATCCTATTATTTATGTTTTTTTAAAAATTTTGATTTATAAAATATTAATGTATACATATAAGATATTATTTGATTTAATAAATATAATTCTTTTGTAAAATTTTTAAGATCATTTTAATTATCAAATAATAAAGTATAAAACAAGATTAACTATTTTTAGCTTGTTTTTTAAATTTTAATTAATTAGTTTTTTGTTTTTTAATGTATAATATAATAAATTAAATTCATTCTATAATTTTCTAATCAAAATTACATATGAAGGTCTAAACAATAATTCTAAATTAAAATATTTTAAAATTTTTTTTTATCATTTTCTACAAGAGAAATATATTTTCAATTATGTGAATCCTTATTTTGTCAAAATTAAAAAGATATTTTTAATCATTTTATTTCATCTAATATTACTTTTCTAGTTATATTATTGAATAAACCATATTCTTTAATTTCAGATAATACTAGTTTTCATAATCTATCGTTAATTTGTAAAAAAAATATAATTCATCAAAAACTATATTATGTATTGAAAAATATGACCATTAATAGTATTATAATTAATAGAAATTTCATCTATATTTTTTTCAATATATTAATTTTTATTTAAATCCTCAATTTGATTTTTTGAATACAAATACTATAGACAAAAATATTTTGAGTTGGTACTATTTAATCCTAGACATATGGTAAGAAACTTCTAATCAGAATTAAAATATAATTCAAATTTCCATAAAATTCTAATTATTTCTAATCTATCTACTTTCAAAGAATGTAATTTTTCAACAAATAATTCTAATATAAATTTAATAATATTATATTTTTCTGTATCAAGATATAATACAATTGTATAATAATAATCAGAATTATGATAATAACTTTTATGATTTAAAATTATAAATGTTATCATTACATGTTTGATTTTTTGTTCTACATTTCATCTATCTCCTAAAATATACAAATATATTATTGAATTACACTGGTCGAAAATTGATAAAACATATACATATTGGATACCTGATATGTGCATGGTGTGTCCCTAATATCGGACATATATCAGGTACCCGATAAGTATAGAAAATATTTTATATATATATTGGGTACCCGATAAGTATAAAAAAATATTTTCTATACTTATCGGGTACCCGATATATGCCCAATATTAAGGACACACCATGCACATATCGGGTATCTGATATGCATCAGGAAATTTTAAAAGGCAAAAATCTCTGGAAATTTTTTAGTTTGATTATTTTCCGGAAGTTCTGCAGACTCCCGAAATTTTCCGGAAAAAAAATTCACAATATTCTGAAAATTTT